ACCCGCGTCAATCTCAGTGTGGAGGGAGATTAAGCCAAGGAGCAATGCTACTGGAGGTAAAACACTCCATCTCATCCTCTCAACAGAGCAAGCATATTTTCCTATGCCTTATTCTCTAAGATCTCCACCCATTACTGATTGGGTCACCAATGTCGAAACCAATTACATTGTCTGTCACTGCGGAGAAAAGTTTTGGATTATCTAGTGCCAACTCAGCTTGAGGAGGCAGCAAGTTGCATCTATATCCAGACGCTTAATAGATTCAGACGCTTATGGAAACAGAGCAGAAGATGGCAGAACCTTCTCCAAAGAAAGAATATAGCCCAGAGATCTACCACCAATTCACCAAATGTTCGGAGTGGGACTATTTTGTGACCTGTGTGAAAGAAATGTGGAAAAGAAGCAGAAAACAACTTACAACGACTATGGTAGATGAATATTTAATACCTGCTTGGCAAGTAGAGCAGTTCAATTGACGGTGGCCAAAACCCCTTGTGAGAACTGAAGCAATGTATAACTTTCTCTTCGTCGGTTTATTAGCGAGGAGAGTTGTCAAAGTCGTCCATATCGCTATCAGATAAGTGAACCAACGTTCGTCATGTTGCGAAAATGAACTTAAGAGTAGGGCTCTATGCCTGCCAATTGAATCATTGAGCAAGATTCAAGGAGCTCTCATCAGCCGCTGGCAATTGAGTTGGAGTTTCAATCCACCAAGCGGGTTCTCATTATAACTCTTTTGTCTGATGATGAACAAACTGTTATGAACATGTGAAGCAGATCAAACAGTTAAAGTTCATGTCAGACTGTTTCTGCTGCAGAGAGGAGAGAAAGAAAAGAGTCAGTCCGACTGAAATGTTCATTTATAACCATGGAAACAGTGAACAGTGTGTGGATCATTGTTGGTTTGGTTTTGATTTCTCCTCATGTTGTTCTGAGCTGCAGTGATGAAGAAGAGAGTAAAAGCTTCATCACTGTCAGGAATCCTGTCCATTACAGAGTCTGTGTTCAGGTCAAATGAAGCTACAATAGTTATTATGTAGTTATTTAGTGATAAACTCTCCTCTGTTTGTTAGAGGCTCTGTTTTAAAACCAGAGTGACACATGGAAAGACTCAAACAGCAACACATCCACTGATCTATACAAATATGTACTGATCTTTATTACTGATCACTTTATTGTAAACTCTTTTGTCCCTGTCAGGATCCTGTAGGAATGATGACTCAGTTTTTCCAGTGAGTTGATTGGTCGATAGTCTGGCTGTTGACAGGTTTTGATCTGATCCTCTGAAGTTAACCTGCTCCGGAGCAGGTTAGGAGTTCAGAATCTGTTACCATGGGGATTTACCCCGGTAAGAAGTGAACCACCGTCGTAGGACTGAAAACCCAGAGTTAAACCTGAAGTTACCTCGATAACCTCAGATCCTGCTTCATAGTACAGACCTCAGGTTCAGACCTTGTTGCAGCTGTACAGTCATATATTTAAGAGTTAAATTACCAAACAAAGTGCTAATATTTTGTTATTGTGTTTCAGAGGAGATGTCTGGTGACAGAGGATGTGACCACTAATGGTAGGAACATGTGACAGCAGCACTCAGTGCCACAGCCCACAGTACTGATGCTACACACTCATGGTACACTGACAGGAAATAATAAAACACTTGAGACAAAGTCAGACGTCCATCTAACTGAAGTGTCTCTTCTTACTGAACTAGACAAACAGACGGTAAATGTCTGTCTTTCTGAGGCTGTTTATTCAACTGTGAGCAGCTCCTTCATTTCCTTTGTGCACTGTGGAAGAACAGTCAACATCAGCAGCACACTCAGAGGTAGACTGTATTCAGTCTGCATGGTTTCAGTAAATCCAGAACACAGTATAAAGTAAAGGCCTGCAAAGAGTCAGTTTGTAATGTGGACCTGGGAATCACCAGCAGACTTTCTTTTAAAGTAGACCACACCAGCTCAGATGTTCTGTTGCACTCTGGTTTTTCACACATACCTACACTGTAACACTGAGAGAAAGAACATTTCACTGTGGTCGGTATCAGAAATACAGAATTGTCTCTCTAACAGTCCCTGCTGCTCTGCTGCTGCTCCAAACCATCTCTCCGCTCTCAGATTAACTGCTGCCGCTCAAAATTATCTGAGAGCAGACAGACAGTTCTGAACAGTAGCAGAGCAGTGAAATCAAAGTCAGTGCTCTTGAATAAAGACAGGAAATAAACTCTATATTTGAAACCATCTGTTGAACCTGTAAACCCTCTGTTTCCATTTAAACTAAACCACATAAAAAACTCTGGCTTCCTTTTGCTCGTCTCGTGTTGATCTTCACAACGTGTTAATGTTGGATCTTCCAGGCTCCTGGTCACAAAGCTCCATCTCCCGCTCCCTGCAGCGAGCTGAGACGTTACTCAGGACCACCTTTAACCCCAGTCTGAAGTGGCTGTTCCACAGCCGCAGTCAGGATGAAGACGCGGAGGAAGGACATTTTGTGGTTGCACACAACCTGGTCTCCCGGTCCTCTGCTCGTCTGCTGCGTCTGCAACAGGCTCTTCTGACTGTGGCACCACAGTGGCAGTTGGTCGGCGGGGCACAGGTGGGATCTCCCCAAGTGAGTTTGAGGGAGTGCTGGGCCAGTTGCACAAAACACCTCACTTTAATATTTAAGGTTTTCTCCATATCTTGGTCTTACACTTCACGAAACACTTAAAGTCAGTTAAGCTATTGCACAGAAGACCTTAGCGACCAAATTAAGGACAAAAACTAAAGGCACATCTGATTGTATCTTAACATGGCTTAGTTTATGGTGATAAACGAAGAGCATAAACATCCCAAGGAGAGTCTTCCGTGACCGGAATAACCTGATGGACACCCTCAACTACGAGGAATTAATTTTTCACTATAGATTTGATCGGCAGTCAATTTCTGATTTGAGCTGGATCATATCATCATCATATTGAGCCGATCATATGTTTTAAGAGTTATGGTAATCTTAACGGTTACTTCAAGTAGCCTACACTGTAACGATAAGTTAAGTGTTGAAGTTATTCTAACTGGTTTTGTTGGACTCCTTCCTGTAACTGGTGAGCCTCTTTTTGGCCAGAATAGACAAGTTGGACCTCTTGACAAGAATTTTTGAATTAATTTTCATTGCAATTTCCTCCTACATCTGGTGTTTTCTGTTAGATGTTATTCGTGGATGAAATGGACCATTTAGTAAGTTTTCTTTTGTTATATTCCTCTAGATGATTCCTTTCCTCCTTTTTTTTTTTTTTGGGGGGGTCTTTATTCTGACAGGACAGTGAGAGATAGACAGGGAGGTTAGGGAGAGAGAGGGGATGACATGCAGCAAAGGGCCGTGGGTCGGACTCGAACCAATGGCCGCTGGAGTTAGGACTAAGCCTATGTGGTAGGCGCTCTACCAGGTGTGCCAACGAGGCTTATTCAAGGTCTTTTTATTGGTAGTTCAAGTCATACAGAATGTAATAAATCACTGATACAGGTGAACAAAGACAATGTGTCTCCTCCCCCTTTGATCTGCTCCGAGAGCCCCATCCCTGTATATTGTTACTGTACCATGTTTGTAGTGGAGTGGATTTCCTAACCAATTACATACCCCCAAAACAGAGATTAACAACAATAAGTTAAAGGAGATCAATAAATAACAATAAATAATATGGGGTCAGTATCAGTAGCGTCTATTCTTTCTACGCAAGTTAAAAAAGGTTGCCATTTAGCATGGAATTTCTGAGCACATCCTTTCATAGTATAGAGAACTTTCTCCACTGTCAAATGGTGTATAAGGTTTTTAATCCATAGTCCAAAAGCTGGAGGAAAGGTATTCTTCCATTTAAGCAGTAGAAGTCAGCTGCGGTCTTTTCCTCCTCCTTTCTTTTCTTCTGCCATTTTTTTTCCTACTGGCCAACTTTGTGTGATGATAACAGGTGAGACGACAACCGACATGACAAGCGCTAATGCCAACGCTGCCAATGCTAACCCAACAAACAAACGGTCTCCATGGAAACTATAGAACTTTACCGCTGTAAAATCTCTTTCATTGCTGTAAATGCCTTTATGTTTTTCCTTAACTAAGGAACCTTTTAAAAGGTTCTGTGCAAAACCCTTAAGTAACTCCCTCAGCTAAAGAGAATTTCCAACCCTTCAAGTGTCAGACTTAAGTAGAAAACCTAAGGTCTACATCTCCTGCAGCTGTTTGCATAAAACTGCCCCCCCCCCCCCTTCAGGTGTGTGTTAAAGGCATCCCAGAGAGAGAGGCAGAGGGTGGAGTTGTCCTCGTACCCTCCTCCTCCTCCCTGCAGGGGCCCTACAGGACTCTGTGGAGACTCCTGGAGCAGCGGTCCCTGCTGCTCTTCATACACGAGTACACAAGGAGGGCTCGCCTCGCCGCAGCGTACATATCAAGAGTGAGCCACCTGCTGGAGGAGCAGCTGAGGAGACCACACCTGACACCTCACCAGGTGAGGCTCCTCTGTGTGAAGTGAAACCTCTGAGAATCAGCACTGAACTCTGCAGTTTCACCAGCTGGTCTCTTTATTGATCACATAGTTGTTGATTCTAATTGAACATTTTGACTTTCTTACACTGTATTGTTTATTTTATATCAGCTGCTTGTGTGTCAACAGTATTTGACCTTTGGCCTCTTCAGTGGAAAAAGGGTTTTATTAAAGATGTTTGTAAAATATATATTCCCGAGTAAAAAATGATTCTGTTGTCAGCAGCTCTGTAATAGTCACATTTCAGAAGACACCGCTCTCCTCTCCTCTCCAGACCCTGTCCAGCTTGTCTTCATTCAGGGTCAGTCTTGGCTCGCTGAGTCAGGAGCTCCGGGTCCATCTCAACCACTGGTCTTGTCTGTTCTCCAAAGTCCAGTCTGACCATTACCTGAGACCTGCTCTAGTCCAGCAGACCAGGCTGCTGGTGGAGATCAAACAGACTCTGGACTCTCTTGGTCTGCAGGCCCTGGTTCTGATGGAGCACTACGTGTGTGTGATCCTGTCTGCTGTGGCCCAGGCGGAGCTAGACTCTGTACCACGAGAAGTCCTGCAGGATATTTTAGCTGGTACAGACGTGTACAACCAGGCAGTGGAGGAGCAGAGGGCGCAGCGCAGTGCCACCCAGCTGAGGACTGCAGTATTACTCCGAGCTCATCACTCCACACTGGATCCTGGTCTTCCACACAGCAAACAACACCACCCTGCTGCCTTCTCAGTCAGAGAGCTGACGGTGATCTTAGCAGTGCATCATGCGGAAACTGCAGCCGAGCAGCTTCGGAGCTGGGCCTCTGCTCAGAGCTGTCAGGTCTGTCAGGTCCACCACACTCAAGAAGCCGGCACGAGTTCTGTTAGGTCAAGTATCAGCTGTGGGACCTGCACACTGAGACCAGAGTGGACCTGGGAGCAGCTGCAGCACACCTTCCTTATTCCACCTCCACTCCTCTCATCCCATCAGCCCACTCTGCAGCTCCATCAGGACAGTGCTGAAAACCACCTCCCTGTATTAGCCAAACCCACCTCTGTCCAGCAAAGACCAGACTGCTCTGACAAAGACCCAACCAGCCAGTGCCAAACCCACATACCCCGGAACAGTCCAATCCAGGCCAGTGTGGAGACTGTGGACTTAGCCCAACCACATGTAGAAAACTGTGAACCACCACAGACCATTTCACCCCCGTCAGAATCCTCCCACCGTCTCTCAGCCCCACCAGTGTCAGCTGTCTGCCAACAAGAGCGTTCTTCAGTGGAGTTACTCTTTCAGCTGCTGGTTTCCTGCAGTGACCTGCTGGTTCCACTGGTTTCACACACAGAGGCTCCAGCTGAGCCGCTGCTGCCACATACACCAACAGATGTGACTGTAACTGCTCCGATCATCAGTACAGATGACTCTGTGGAATTAAATAGACTGAGTACAGACCTGAACACGGAGGGGTCTCAGGCAGACTGGGCTGAACTGGACATGACTACCAGGCTGGAAACCACCTGCAGGTAAAGTCCAGATTAACCAGCCTCTGACTGTTGTGCTGATGTTGATCCAAGACCTCAGTCCGCTTTGAGTTAACTGCATTAGATAAATTAACGTGAAGTAAAAATGAAAGGGCACTTTTAAATTTTTTTTTTTTTTACTAAAATTACAAATCCAGATCCAGTTGGACTCTGTAGGTTGCAGCTGAAGATATGAAATGTTAAGTAGCCTTCTGATTTTGGTTCACCTTATTTCAACAAACATACTTCATCCAATTTATTGATTGGATATGAATTGATTTTTATCTGGGAGATTCTGACTCCTGAAAGACTTGTTGGAAACCCAGAAACACATGATTGTAGAATGGTGTTACAGAGTGAAGCTTCTTTAGCCTCATAGACAATCTTTGACTGAGGACAAACATGTTGAAGTCTGTTTCCTTGAACCTTACCCTGAGACAAATGTCTCTCTAACCCCAATGATGGACAGTCTATAGCTGAAACTGCTTATCAATTATTGTTATCAGAAATTAATAAAAATATTCATATTAAAGTATTGATATTACATAATAACTTAATAACTACAACCAAAAGGACTAAGGTGGTTCAATCCCTGGCTCCTCCAGTCTGCTTGTTGAAGTGTCCTTGGCCAAGATACTGAGCCCCAAATTGCCTCTGATGGCTGTTCCATCACTGTGTGAGTGTGTATGGGTGTGATGTTTGAATGTGTGTGAATGGGTGAATGGAGCAAATACTGTAAAGTGCTTTGAATGGTCTCTAAGACTTTTCTGCTTGTTAACAGGTTCTTTTTTTTAACTAACTCCCAGCTAATCCAAAAATAGTCAAAGAGCAGGGGCGTGTGTAGAACTGAGATGTTGGTGAATGCTGGTTTGTGGCAAGCATACGCTCACCCACCTGTCACTCAAAGAGGCCACGCCCTCAATTCTACATAACTTTAAGTCTTAATAAAATGTAAACAGGTGAGTTATATAAACAGGTGTCATGAAGGAGGAAATTAGCTCCAGAGACCAAAACAGTTTTTGTACCAGGCTGTAAACATGTTGATTTTTGCTGTATAGTTGGACATTTTAACATGGGAGTCTATGTGGACTGACTCACTGCTGGAACTCACTGCAGAACTGCAGGTTTTGGTTCTTCAGTGTTGATAATTCATGTTTCAGCCTCGGAGGTTGAGGCTTGGTCACATTACACTGTGCACCACGAGTGTTAGATGCAAACAGCTGAATATTCAGCTTGTGTTCTGTTGCTCCGTAAGTGACCACACTGATGGTTTCAGGTAGCTGGACCCTCTGTCATAACTGCAGACTGTTTGTGTCCCTCAGCTCAGGTTTTCAGAGGGACAGAGACCCAGAGGGAGAAGGGACTGTGGGACTAGAGGGGACAGCGGTGGCGCCAGACTGTGTGCGGCCTCACTCGGTTCAGTGGTTGGACCTCGGTCAGTCTCTGGTGTTTGCTGATCTGTTGGGACAGTACCGGGCCCTGCTGTGGACTCTATGCAGCAGAGCCCTGTGGCTGCAGATGTTTGTCCCACCAGCAGGGAATGCAGCAGGGAGCATCAACCTCCAAGACAACCACAGGGGGTTCCAGATCCTGGACCGGCTCAGCCGAGCTTCAAAGACAGGTCAGGAGATTGTGTATGTCTCTCATGAATTAGTGTTGAACTGATAACTTCCTTTATACCAGGTCCAGAGTTCATGTGAATGTTTATTCTACATCATGTGAAACAGTTTAGTTTAAATCCAGACCCGCACGCACGCACGCACGCACGCACGCACGCACGCACGCACGCATGCACACAGCTTTATTCTGTTTCAGATCCTTAAGTTCAGAAATGTGGTTTGTGGTTTTTTGCACTCTCTGTAGAAGATCTGGTTCCAAAGGAGTGCAGGGCCATGCTGGAGGATTTCAGGCTGAATCTCTTAGTCTGTACAGCACATGCTCAGTGGGACTATGGTTAGTACACACACACACACACACACACAGACCACTCTGTTGTTTTTATATTTGATGTTATGTAGGATATTTGATTATCAGCAGTTTTGTCACATGGTCTCTCACACACTGTCCGTCTGCCCTCAGTGTTGTGCAGAGGTTTAGGTTCTGCTCTTAAGGATAAGTGCCTCATAGACGGCAGCCACTCTGTGATGTCATCATCTAAGATGATGTCAGTGACCATGGAGCACTTCCTGCTGCTGACCCCTCCTCTCCTGTCGTCTTTGTGCTGTCAGCTCTCAGACAGCAGGAGCTCAGGTAAAGAGACATGAGCAGTGTGTGTGTGTCAGTGCTGATGTGTAAAGCTGCTGTTGATATGAAGCTCAATGTAGATCCTCACAGGATCATTGGTGGGGGTTGGGGGTGGGGGAGTAAGCTCCAACAGATAAATACATGTGAACAGTGTAGTATTTTTTTGAGACATCACAATTCAATTCAATTCAATTGAGGGGGGGGGGGCTCACCATGAACAGCAATATACACTGTTGATTGTTAATTATAACAGTGAAAATAACAACAGTTAATACTAACGATACTAAAGAGTGTTGTGGTGACAGATCTGGATCCAGAGAGAGATGGACAGGATTTCCTGACTACGGTGAATGAAGCTTTTGACTTCCAGTTGCTTCATACTGCAAGCTTCAGAACAACATGGAGGAGGAAATCAAAACCAAACCAACAATGATCCACCATGTTCAGCTGTTTCGATGGTTATAAATGACATTCAGTCGGATCTGACTCTATTTCTTCTTCTCCCTCTGCAGGCAGAAATCAGCTCTGTAGCATGAAACTTTAACTGTTTGATCTGCTTCACATGTTGCATCAAGCAGTTGTGTTCATCATCAGACCATAAAGAGGGAAAAACTTCACATGCAGTACGCAACTGATAATTCATGTTCTTTATTTAGCTAGACCATAGTGTTGTAGTCTGACTTTGAAGATAGAAATTATAATTGAACATATATATAATATATTTAAAATTCTATTGTGCGATCGATCGGTTGTTCATTTCAGCCTTGTGATGAGAATTCCACTTTATGACGTCACGGATAACTGGAAATTCACCTGCAGGTAATCAGTGGATTTTCTTCTCATATCATAGGTTAATACTTGGATAGACCAGGCGCTTCGTAGTAGCAGTTTATCAGGATGGTCATGTTAGGTCAAGGTTAAGCCCAAGATAACTAAAAGGTTATCCTGGGTTTGGTTGGGAACTTGCTTCATAGAAATCAAGCCTCGTGGTCACAGAATAACAAACTGAAGGACATGGAGCCGGGTAACCCTTCAGCTAGCAGGGGCAGCCGCATTCACACGAAGGTGCCCAGCATTGCAGATGGAATAAACAACGTGTGGTGGATGCTGTGTATCGATGACTAGACAACCACAAACGATACGCTGAATTTGAATCTTCTGCGGTTCCCAGGATGGGTGCGGTCCATCCACGGTGCCTCCAGGAAAGCTGTCAATCGTTATAGCTCAGAGGCCTGACACGGGCGTCGGTCAAGGACAAACGGAGCCACAAACCCTCTAAACTGACCAATCACAGTCCTGGAGCTGCCACGAGACGAACTCACTGGGACTGATGGGCTGGGAAAACCTTGTGCACCACATCAGAGAAGTCAGACCGACACACGCAGTAAACGTTATCAAATCTGGGTGATAAGTTCTCTGGACCGAAGAGAACCAGAGTTCATGTTCACCGCGATGTTTGGAAGTGGGACCTCGTGCTTCGCTGGGCCTGCAGGGGGCCGCCTCAGGCTATGGTGAATTGTGGAGCACTACCGAGACGGGGTTCGCGCTGGGAATACTGCATCATGTAAGTGCAGGGCCCGCGCTTGGTCAGGATCAGGTCAGCAACCCTGTGTCTTGATGCCCTCTGCTGCCAAGTTCTGCGTGATCTGAGCGGTCTGAATTCCGTGTCGACGGGGACGTTTCTACTGTGCGGTTCCTCACGCCATGACAGATTTACAGGCAGCGCTGTCGACGAAGGATCTGGTCTGAGATCAGGTGGGATGCTCTCTCCTGGACGGTACTATAGTTGTTTAGAATCCACATTGTCAACCCTCCAGGCTTTCATGACTGAGCCCTCTAGACTCAATGTACAGAGTGTACGTGATTTCACTGATGACTGACTGTGGACTGGATTGGAAGATCTGAACTCTGAGAACTATTCTTATGCAGGTGTCATTCATGACTATTCAATCTCTCATGCATGATCTGTGCGTTAGCTCAGCTCTCTGAGATCTTTGTTGTGAGGCCTGGTTCACAATCAGCTGCATGTTTCTTAAATGTCGAGTGTTGGTTACGAGAGTCTGGTTTCACTGACTGACTCCAGGTCTGATTGTATTGTGCATAAGAGGATGAGGAGAGTCATAATGAAGGTCATAAAAATTCTGTAACAATCTATTATTACGCTTCATTTTAATTTTTAAATGATAATGAGGACACATCCTATTTAACAGCATTTTCATTTGTAATTTTTCAAAAATCATTCAGATTATGCAGGGGCATGGAGGGAAAGATGAACAGAGACACTGACAGTGACTTTTCATGTCAACACCACAGTGAAGTAGGCTGAATTTCATTTTTATGAAATAAAATTAAAATAGTCAGCAAGAACTATTGACAAGAAATAGTGAATTGAACTACAATTGACTTTGAACTCAAACCTTCCTCATTGGATTTAAACTGGGTGCGTCAAGACAGACTGCTGCAGAGGCGCTTGTCATTAGGTTTTGTGTCTTTGCCTCAGGCAGCGACGACTTTTCATCATGGCTGTTTTTAAATTTGTTCTGAAGGTGAAACCTGTGCACTGTGATGGAGACTAGTATTATCATCTCCACTTCAGACATGCTCCTGTCTGTGTCTGGTCTGCTGCATCCGCCTGACAGAACCTGCCATCTAACTCTGTTCAAATCTGTCAAACGGCACTGGTCTCAAGATTTTTCTGTCATTTGTCAAAAAAATTTAGTAAATTGACGGGAAAATATTTGGTTCATGACTCTTGGGCCTGATAACTGTCAGATTTCATACCATTTCTGTGGCTGTGTTTCCAGTGAACAGAAGAGGGCATGGTCTGTTCAAAGATTCTCCCCTGACATCCTCTTACAGTCACTGGAGAAGTCTTGCAGCACCGAGAGAGGAGAAGGTCTGAGGACACAGACCAGAGACACCAGGATCAGACCACAGCTACACTCTCTGGTTTACATGATGTCATTTCTATGAGAGAAGCAAATGGAGATTGCAGTTCTCTGCTCCTGCTGCAGGAAGCTGCAGCTGTCAGAGGACATTCATTTCTCACTACTGAGGTCTACAGAGACGTAATGCTACTGTGAACCTTTGTCTTACTATTCTTCTCTAATCCACACAATTCTAAACACTGAACACCGTCCTCAACAACAGACTGAGCACAGTGTTCAGTCACCTGCAGCTCAGACACCGCCCTGTCCAGAGCTTCCAGCTGCTGCCTGAGCAGGAGTGATGAGTAATAGTCCACTGTCTGGATCATCATCAGGGACCTGGTCTGACGCACCATCCCTCTAACGACTCTCTGAGCTCCTGCAGAGACAAAAGAAAGAGCACAAGACAAACACACTCTCATCACACTGAATGCTCTTTTGTATTCATAAAGACTGCAGCTGACAGCGTCCGGCAGGCACTTCATTACATTACATTGGGTTGCATGTTAGCTTTTCAGTGCAGGATGGAGCTCACAGCACACGCATCAGGCTGTGAAACAAAAGAATCCTGTTCAGACCTGGTATTAACACCATCTCAGGTGATCTGATCCCAAAGCCGGTCTTCTCTAAGTTCAGACATGAAATGGACCCAAGACGAATTTAGAGATCAGCCGCACATTGAAAGGACCGCCTACTCTACTGACGGTCCTCAGCCACAGTCTGATTACTGCCGCCACGGCTTCCATTAATGAACCCAGAAGATTTTACCATTTCAAAGGCATGAAACCTGATTTCAAGAGAGCTGTAAGCAGGGGCAATGATTCAACTCCCTCTCTCTGTCACCTTTCAATTCAATTCAATTCAATTCAACAGGCTTTACTGCATGACACAAGAGGAAATTCAAAGCCGGCGAAGGAGGACTACAAAAAGAAAGCAGAGAGGGAGCTGCTAGCACACACAAGGGGAAGGGGGATGAGGACCAATCACTGGCTGACTAAGGAAGAAAAAGCCAGGCAACATCAGGTGATCGTGACAACACTCTCCTGTGTTTACTCCAGTCACCACCACATTGTTCAGTCCTCACTCGTATTACTGTGACTTCACCCATCCTCTGCTGCTGGCCTCAACCCAGCTCTGCTCCCCTCGTCACACCACACAAATCACAGCCCCAAGTGTCCTCTGTTCTCTGGCCCGGTTTTCGTCTCAACTGCCTCACCTGTGCTGGCTTCACTTGACTACTCCAACCTGAAAGCCCTCGTCATTCAATCCTGCCCCATCCAAAACTCCACCTCTGCCCCTCATGCTCCAGCCATCCGCCCAGCCCCCACACAATTCAGCGTCCACCCTGGCTTTCAGCTGACCTGCCACACGTGCTTCAGTTTAAAGTAAAAAATAAAATATTACCTTTAAAGAGTGAGTCTCGTTTCTGTTTGGTCTAAAAACTACAACTGAGGAACACACTGTAGGTTTGGTGTAGGATAATGAATGAAAACATCAAATAACATCAACAACTTTATCCTTTATCTGAAGGGAGGTGTGAAAACTGCAGCACAAGTCTGTTCATGCCTCTGTCAGGACAAATGAACTCCTGTGATTGTCATGTCTGGATCCCTCCAGTGATTGTTAAAGTCCTCTGGTTGATCTGGGTGAGGAAGCTACCTTGAGGTCCCCCTGTGTGATGAGCAGGAATCTGTTGAGGCTCCATGAGGAGAGGAACTGGTAAGCCATTGACAGAGATCCAGAATGTGGACAGCTGCACTGTGGCCAAAACCAGCCTGACAGACTGTCTGTGGAGGGGTGAGGAGGCTGGAGAGCCTGGGGGAGAGATGGACGAGAGGTGGGATGGTTGGACTGTAACTACCCGACATGATGATAAAACACTGTAAATGTTATATTGCCACAGATATTTCTGGTGTTTCTAGAGAGGTGAATGTGTGTATCAGGTGATGAACAGTGAATGTTGTAATGTTGATTATTCAGGACACGTCTGGGCAGGAGAGCTACAGTTCTCTCTCTCTCTCTCTCTCTCTCTCTCTCTCCTCTCTCTCTCTCTCTCTCTCTGTCCATAGAGTCAGATCCAAGATCCAGATCCA